TTTGAAAATATTATTATATATGTAAATGGAATATACAGTGCAATGTAACAGTTATTAAACTGTAAATCGCCCAACAATTTGGTGCACGGTGTAAGTATGTATTGTGCAGATTGAACCAACCGAACTTTTATCTCAATTAAATTGAAAATAAACATAATTAATTGGTTTATTCGGTTTGGTTAGCCGAATTATTCTAAATTACCGAAATTATTTGTATCTATATTAAAATTATTTTTAATATGTTCATATTATTTATCATTTTTATCTTATTTTGGGTTGAAAACAAACAAATGGTTCGGTTGGTTTCATGCTCTATTCATGCAATCTTAGTTGTGATAAAGTGCATGTTTATATTTTATAAAGTGCAACATATTGTTTTATAAAGTGCAATGGTTGATGTATAAAGTGCACTCCTGTAAATTTGTTGTGTTAGCTTGCTTGTGTTTTATGTGGGCAAATGATGTGATGAATGTTACAATATTATGTAGATCTATTTTTTAGATTTAAGTCGTGTGGTATTTTGGCTGGACTAATGACATTAATTGTTAAGTGTGATATAAAATTGTAGTTTGTTGTTTTACAAAATACGATGTGTTGGTTTTATAAAAGTGAATTATTGAAAATTTGATATGCTTGCATGTTAATGGTTTTTTTCTTTTTTGTGTGTGAATAGATTTTGTGATGGATATTAAAGTATTATGTATATCTGCTTTTTGATTTATATTGTGTAATATTTTTGGCGTGCGTTGTTGACATTAATTGTGGAATATTAATATAGAGTGCAGCATGTTGTTTTATAGAGTGCAATGTGTCACTTATAAAGTGCAACATTTTTGTTATATAAGGTGCACTATTTTATACCTTACCAGATAAATTATGTGTATTCAAAAAATAGTTTTAATATGTACAATCGTACATCGAAATAAACTAAGTAATTGAAATATCTTGTTATTTATTATTTTTATTAAATAATTTATTTATTGTTATACATTATTTTTTTGATATTTATATTATTCGTATTTATTTTTGTATTTATTGTTTAGTATATATGCATAACAATAACAATATATATATATATATATATTATTAACTTTCAATAATTATATATTTGACCTAGGGGTTAAATTAAAATATAACTAAAATTATGAAAATTGCAAAAAAGACCCTATACTTAATATAATTCTCAAAGAGCATGCACAATCACACAATAAGATTCAAAGATTCAAATTGCCCCTTATCAACACATCTCGCATCAGAGAGGGTGTGGTTCGATCTCAGGAGGCGGCGGAGGTCAACGCGCCGGCGGTGGAGGTCGACGGGTCGACGGCAGAGATCGAGAAACGGGACTGTCGGACTAATCTTGTGAGGAGTGGATGACGAAAATGGTGTCGCGATGAAGCCTCGCCCAACGCAATGGAGGCGTGGCAGGTAACAACGGCGGATCTGCGGCGAGCAGTGGACGACGGAGAAATGCCGGTGAAATGCTGGCGTCTGTGTGCGTGTGTACATGTTACGAGTGAGTATGTATGGTGGTGCGACGGAGAAATGCCGGCGTCTGGTGGCTGTGCGGCGGCGAGTGGTGGTTCGCCGGTGGGAGGTCGGATATAAGGATGCCGACTGACTGTGTATTTGTGTATGTAGTCGTGCGCGTATGGGTATGTTGGAGGAACGCCGGCGTCTGGCGGCTGTGCGGCGACGATGAATGGTTCGTCGATGGATGTTGGAGATGATCATGTCGACGTGTGTACAT